GCTCGAAGATGGTTTAGATCATATATTGTCATGGCAATGTATGATAACACCACCTATTTATTTTGTGAGTGGGATGATATGATGTTGAAGATACTTGTGGCTAAAAAATGAATTATGACATTTAAGAAAAGAAATGGTTGATTTATTCTAAATAACCTTTTAAATTTTGAAATATTAGATTTGAACCAAATAAAAGATACAAAAAGAGATGGAGATGATGAAGAAGATAGAGATGGTTAAATTGGCATATACCAAAGAATATTCAAGTTTGGATGAGGTAGATGTTATACTGTAATTACTTATTATATGTAAAAATTAATTAAAACATATAATATATTCATAAATCTTAATATATATTAGAATGGTTAGAAGGTTAATATAAAGAGAGTTGATATAAGAAACTTTATTTTAATTTTTATTTATTTTGATTATGGCCCTTAAATTATATAAGATCTAAATATTTAATATATAGCTTTAAGAGAAGATTAGGATTCAAAGATAAAGACAAAAAATACTAAGAAGCTTATTTGGAAAGTTATAAATAAGGTATGGGAGGATGAAAGTAAGGTATGGAGGAATGAAATTAAGGTATAGAAGAATAAAAGAAAGAAATGGAGATCTTCAGCTCCATTAGTCAATAGGCTTCTATTACATTGTCTACAAGGATTATAAGGACTTTTGGTAACTTTAGAGAAGGCATTCAAAAATTGGAAGTAAGAATTATAAAATTTAAGATTTGGATTACAATTTACATATAAAAATTAGAAGATTTGGAATTAGAATGAAGAAGTTATAACCATTTGAAATTAAGATATTATTTTAAGATATACTATTGTTCTTTTGAAGATACAAGGAATTGTATGATAGCTTATGAAAATAAAAAAGTGCAGGTAGAAGGGTGATTTTAAGATCTAAATTTTTCACATAAGCATTGTTATGTTTGGAGTTTAGAAGAAAGAACTACAGAGAGTTGAATAAAATACATTCAACTTCAAGGTAGTAAGTGAGTCACTTTATTGATAGTAATAGTTGGAGTCCTATCTTTAATTTTTGGAGAATTTTTTAGCTCAATTTTTTAAAAAATATTATTTATTATGTTAAAAAGCTATATACTAATTTTTGTAGTATTCAAATGTTTAATTTGTGAGATATGAAGAAAGTTGCATATGGATGTATGTAAACAAAGATTTGAAACTATTATTAGAATTTTGGTAATATTTCAATATCCATAATACATTTGCAATTGAATTTTTTTTAATAGTTGTTTAAAATATAAAAATTCTTCATATAAAATTTGAATTTGTTTGGATGCTCTAATTAGAAGTTATGAACTATTGGAGTTTGAAAAAATATTCTATAAGGATATATAAGATTTTAGAATATTTTATCATATTTTGGATGTTCTTGGCTATTTAGGATTTATATATTTGATGTAGTTTTTCCTTAAAATATAATTTTATATATATAATTTATGCTTTTTTTTCTTAAAACTTAATAAAGCAATTAGTGACAACCAAAAGTTGAGTGCTTTTTTGAGGCAAACTCTCTCTTCCCTGACAACAACATCTTAATCTACTCTAAAAATATAAAAGAATATAAACTTCATGTTTGTTGTATGTTAAAAAAACTAAGAGATACAAGATTATATGCTAACATAGAAAATTATGTATTTCACATAGTCTTATGATGGATTTTAAGAAGTTTTAGACTATTATATATTGAAAGATTTCAGAAATTGATAGAAATATGCAATATTTTTTGAATTTTTTTAAAAATTACAAGATTTTCATTAAGAACTTTTCTTAAGTTGCAATTCTTCTTACACTATTGACCTGTAAAGACAAAATTGAATGGAGCAAAGAAGTTAGAGTATCTTGTGAAGCCTTAAAGATAAAATTTATTTTTGTACCAATCTGTATGGCATCAACTTTTTTAAGGCATTCTTGAAGGAAATAAATACATCAAACTTGGCAATAGGTGTTGTTTTGTTACAAATAGAAATAAATAAGAAGCTTCATCTAATATATTTCTATTTTAAGAATTTTTTAGAAATCAAGATTAATTACAAGATCTGTAAGAAAGAACTTCTTACAATCATGGATTCATTTTAAGAATGATGTTATTATCTATAAGGCGCTTTTTGTCCAATTATTATGTATACGGATCATAAGAAACTTGAGCACTTTATACTGATTTTTTTATTCTTGATATTAAAAATAATTCTTTTAAGTCTCATAATTCTTTTAAATTTAAATTCAAGAATAATCTACTTTATTTTAAAAAATGATTATATATTTTAGAAGGCAAAGCATAATTACATATTTTCTAAGTTCTTCATAACTTTTCAACAATAAGATATTTGAATATAATAAAACTTTGGAATTAATATCAAGAGATTTTTAGTGGCTTCAAATCTAGAAGGCAATCACAGACTTTGTATAATATCAAAAACTTTAAGATCAAAAACTTCTTCTCATTGACCTTATGGACTTCTTTAGCCATTATTTATTTTAAAGCAATCATGGTCTTCTATTTCTATGCATTTTATCATGATTCTTTCAATCTGAAGTTTGCATGATTTTATATATATGATAATAGATCTTGAACCTCCTATCTTCTATTCTAATTTTCCATCTTCTATTTCAATCTTCCATCTTGCATTCATACTCTTAATTATCTATATGTAAGTGGTGATAAATGAGTCACTTCTCTAATTATATTCTAAGCATAAGTCACTGAGTTTGTTATCTAATGTTGAATTGATAATAACTTATGAATGAGCAAGATCTATTATCCTATACATGAAAAAATAAGCAAAGCATTATTAAAAAGATAGGATACATTATTTATATGACAATTATTACTACTCAGTTTGATTATCTTTGAATGTCTATTTGCTTTCACATATTTTAATCAAGTTTGTTTTGGAGCAACATCATTCATATTGAAAACTAGTATCTCTTATGTCTTTTTTAGTAATTATTCTTATTATATTGATGTAGAAGTTGCTAACACTATAAATCACGATGTCAATTTTTAAACTTTATTTTGAAAAAGTTAAGTTATTGTACATCAATAAAAATAAAAGAAAATAAGTAAAATTGATGTTGGAATATAAAACATTTAAGTATAAATTATAGTATTACTTTGCATTTGTTTTTAGATGTAATGTATATATGTGTATATGTATGTTTTTCCATTTCATTTGGTCTTGTGAATTCAAATATTGTCGGTTAAAACACAATCAAAGATATTACTTATTTGTCACCACTTACACTCAAGGAGTGGGAGATTTGAATGGAAGATAGAAACATGGACAAGAGATAAGAAGTCGAGATAAGAGATGGAAGGTCGAAATGGAAGATGGAAAATCAAGATGGAAGATGAAAAATTGAGATGGAAGATGGAGGGTTGAAATGAGGAACATGGGATTAAGATGGGAGACAATGAATCAAAACAAGGAACAAGAACATAGATATGGAACATAATTAAGAAGGTTGAAACATAAGACATGTGATGAGAATAGGGTTGGAAACATGAGGAATGAGGATGTAAGATAAGAAGGTGCAATGATGGTCTAGAGAGGTGGATCAATTTAGTGAAAACTTAAATCTATTTAACACTCTTCTTTAAATACTAAGAGATTATTTATTATTATAGAAATCACACTAAAAAAAATGATGACATTGTTTATGATACAATAGACATTAAATCCGTAGAAAAGACAAATGAAGATTTTTTAATTTTTAATTTTCTTTTGTATTAACAATGATAGAAAGTTAAATAACTGTTAGTGTTCAAAACTCCATTGAAAAAAGTTATATTCTTAAAATATGCTAAGAATTTATATATTTCTGTAGATTTTACATTTAAAACTAATAATTTACTAAATCTTTTGTTTATAATAGTTATATTTGATGAGTGAAATATATATATATATATATATATATATATATATATATATATAGTTTAGATAATAATAATTAAATAAAAAAGATGTATTTAATTGGTTGTAATTTTTACAAATATTAGTAATTATTGAAGATTGAATTATAGAACTATCTTTTATTATAATAGATGATGCAATTTAAGAATAGTTTTAATATTTCCATTTAAAAAAATATTATTATGTATTATTTTATTATTATAATTTCTTAATATTTTTATTTTAATGAAAAAAATTATTTATTTATCATACCAAGTATTAGTTTAATATTTAGGTATACTTGGCTAACAAATATATTTGTGTATATTTGTTGCACTAAAAAATTGGGAAAAAAAGGCAATGAAAATATATAGAGATATTGTAGTAAAAAGAAAAGTTTTGAAGGATATGCAAAAAAATATTATTTCTTCCCATCCAAAATGAAGAAATTAAATAATATTTCATTACAAGAGAAAAAGAAGCAATAGATCAAGTTTTTTCATAATATAATATTTTAAGAACAAAGAAATATTGTAAAAAATATTATACTCAAACTCATGATAAATTTTTTAATTTAATATTATAATTTTTTAATAAATGATTAATTGATGTATTTGGATGTTATAAGTTTGTTAAATACTTTTTTATATGAATTTCTTGAATTTCTTGAATTTTAGTAAATTTCAGGATTTGTGACCAAAAATGTTTATATATATTAAAAAATTAAAAATAAATTCAAGATAGTATATTTTGAGATTTAAGGTGGTTTTATAAATTTATAAAATATAAAAAAATATAAATAGTCCTATTTCTAGAAAATAAAAAAAGTGGATTTAGAAGCCTATTAAAAAGCGGGGGCGGGGGGGATCCTGGCGATCCTCCTCCCCTCCATCCATCCATCGCCAGCCTGCACCAAGTTGGGGCACCACCGAATGGAGACGGATGAAGAAATTCATCCACAACACGTTCGTCCTCAGATGAATGAGGTAGTTCCGTGGAGGGGATGGGTGGATGTATTACGTTCGTTCATTTGCTCGTTCGTTCGTCGACAACCATTATTCAAGGGTGGACTCCTCCTCGGAGCTTGTCGTCGTGCCGATCCGGAAGTAGTGTCGTCTCGCCTCGCAAGAGATTCGTCGAAGCCGTGAGATCTTGAGCATGAGCACTAGATATCGATGTTCTGAAACTCCCTAGAGCTCTTTCGTCGTTATTGTCGGGCATCGCATGACGGTATTGCGTTTGATGATTTAATATCAACTCCGAGGCGGAACTGGGTGGCTGTGGGTGGTGCAACAATGGAGGGCGATGGAATAGCTGGGGGTGATGGCGGGGTAGAGCGGGATGGTATGCATAGGCAGCAGCAGCAACAGCAACAGCAAGTGTTCAACTCTGCATCGCCCATTGCACAGGTCTTGTCATTCTGGAAAGGTAATAGCTCTTATGCTTTTTGGATCTGAAATGAAGAGTGTGGTTAAATTTAGGGTTGTGAAAGCTACTAGGATTTGGGTTTTGTTATATGTTTCTTGTGACGGGTGGGTATGTTGATCTTCCTTTGAATTTTTGATATTTTCTCCTATTTTTGAGGTTTTCTTCTGGTCAGCTCCTTTGAAGCATTTTCAGCTCTAGCTATGGCCATAATTAAGGTTGCCGGGGTTGTTTCAGAACTATGTGATTAGGATGTGAAGCGTGCTCATTAGAAGTTCTGAATCTACTTCTTTGCCCAACTGCGTCCCCCAATTTGAGTTTTAATCTGCCAGAATGTCTCCGGATTTTCAACAATTCGTCTCTTAGCCAAGTCCTGGTAAGAGTGGTAGAAGTGAACGAGGGTTTCGAGGCTTGTGCGCTTGGCATCTGAAACATTGTATCTCAGAACAATGGGTTGGCAACTTCCGGGCTTTAAGTATTTCATCCTTCAATGATGATTGAATGCTCTTCATCTACAATGTATAGCATCTGCTTGATTAGGCCGTTTCAAATTGATCATATGGATATCATGCACTTTCACTTGGTTAGTGTGGGAGCCTAGGGCGTTTGATTTTTCGAGTTGAACCCATTTTTATTTGGCAACCAGATTTTGATTTGGAGAATTGGAGGACTCAATTGGACAAGCAAGCTTTGGAGATTGATAAAAATCAGGAGAACAGTCTCAAGAATCGTCGCAAGCTTGCTGAGACCACACGAGGTGACTTTATCTAACCTCTCTGTGTGTTTGACAGGTTTTCACCGTACAAAGAAGTTTGTAAACCTTTGCTAATTAGGATCTTGTCTTTGCTTCCATGTTGATAATTAAATCGTGGTAGCTTTTAAACATCTCCGCTTTTTTAACAGAGTGCATGTGTTTCTTTGATGAATTCAGAATATAAAAAAGCTTCTGTTGAGGAGAAAATCAAATCAGCTCCAGCACTGCTTAAGGGGTATCAAGAGGAGGTGGACAACCTTACGAAAAGGGCAAAGTTTGGAGAGAATGCTTTTCTTCATATTTATCAGAAGCTCTATGAGGCTGCTGACCCCGTTCCTGCTCTTACCACTGGCACAGTAAGAAATGTCAACCTCTTAAAATGGTCTATCGCTTATATTCCTCAATGTGTCGTCTGCCACTATGCATGAAAATTTCGAAAGACGCAGGGGCTACAGAAAGTACATAGATTCAATTTTGGATTATAAATAAGGACTTCTGGTTGACGGGTTTTAAGATTTTCCACCGACTCCCTATTCAGGTAGATGGCATCAACTCGTGGTTGTGGATATTTGCCATGCTTTGAAGAGATAATTTTTGATGTGGACATAGAGGTCATGTGTAGGAGTCAGCAGCAAAAGTGGCTGAGCTGGAACTGGAGAACCGCAAGATGAAGCAAGAGTTGGAGGAGTACCGCTTAGAGGCTGCCCATCTGAAGAATCAACAAGCGACTATAAGACGTTTGGAAGAACGAAATCGTTCTCTGGAACAACAGGTCCCTTTGATAAATCTAAATAAACCTAATGCTTCTCATCTGATACCGGTGTTTCAATTCAGAACTTTATTTTATTTCATTGCATACTGCATGGATCCTTTCATCCTCGTGACTCTAGATGGTTTCATGGATCCTGGATCTGATCACTGGCTTGACTCCATTTCGTTCTCACAGTCTACCTTATTCTAGGTGCATAATCGTTGTCGCTTTTGGGTTAACCTTATTTACGCTGATGAGGTCAATGGTTGTCAAATATGATGAACAGATGGAGGAGAAAATTAAGGAAATCGTGGAGATGAAACAGCGCAGCTTGGCAGAGGAGAATCAGAAAAGCTTGGAAATATTACGAGACAGGTGTAGAAACTATTAAGAGCTGGAGATGTTTGACGAAATACATCTGTGTATATCAAACCCTTGAGTACGTTGCATTAGCAATCTCGGTGATTTAGACTTCATCTGTATCTTCTGTTGACCGCGGGTGTTGGTTGATTGAGGTTGCAGGGAAGAGTTTTTACAAGGGCAGTTGCGGGCAGCTAAAGAGAGTGTACAGAATATGCAGAGGCTTCATGAATACGGGCAGAGTCAGCTGTTTGAGTTGCGCGCTCAATCTGGTGGAGTGCTTATCCCGCTTTTGTTGTAGCCTCTTAAGTTGTGCTTTATCGTGTGCCCTGCTTTTGAAATTCGAAACAGTTATTTCTAATATCCAACTCGCATCGTGTACAGAGGAGATCAGTGCAAATAAGCAGTCAGAACTGAATCTGTTGACGGATGAAGTGGACCGTGCGCAGGCCCGGCTTCTGAGTCTGGAGAGAGAAAAGGTTTGCGTAGATTTAGTCCTTGTGTAGTTTTAGGCGCATTCCTTAATGCATGTGTACAAACATCAATATTTCGCAGATTGTATATTCCTTGTTTTTCCTGACATTTACATGTTTATTACTGGAAGATAGTGTTGCATGGTGCTGAATTTGGAATCTCTATTATCAATAAACACTTCTTATTGTTATGTGGATTTGTTTCCAGGAGCAATTGCGGTCGCAGCTGCAGGCAGTTCACAGTCAAGATTCACAACTACAGGAGCGGTTAGTGCTCTGCTATATTTCTTTTTATATATCTTCGAACTGACTTCACTCTCAATTCGGAATAAGGAATTTGTAAGGAGGTGATAATGCAGTCCTCTGTAGATTTCCACCGAAAAGATTTGCTTGTTAAATGTTGATAAATTTACTTAGATTGTTCGTGCTATGTGTAGGCTTGATGAGGAGGCTAACAGCAGTCTAGAAGCATCTCTGACTGCTAAAGAGAAAATCATCTCTGAGCTCCACCATGAATTGCACACTATGGAAACTTCTTTGGGAAGTGAGCGTGAACAGCATATTGCTGAAGTGAAGAAACTGAAAGCACTTCTGAGTGAGAAGGTAAAATAAATATTATGGAAGCAGTTGTTCTGTGCATTCTTAAATTCTCAAACAAATATCATGAGTATCTTGAAGGACTTCTAAATCAGAATATTGCTAAGAAGTTGACCATCAGATTACTAGTGTCATGCCGTTACTTAGAACTGGAGAAGTTTGAGGGAGAATCATTTTTCAGGAGCCCAAGAATTTAGTCCATATTTTTCTGAATTATGTTGACACTGTCTAGTTGTGGATACTATATAATGCTCTTTAACACCACTGCTAAGGTACACAATTTCACCCTGGATTTTTGGCAAAGGCCATGCTTATGGTACAAGACCACTATGGCTTCCTAATTACTGCACGGCTTGTTTATCTCTGTTGTAGACATTAAAAGTGTTCACGTTAGTTAAGAATGGTGGCATACCGGCACTGATGCTTGTGATAGTGTAATTTGAAATTGTGCGCCTCACATCTGCCACAACTGCTAGATTATTTTCGAAGTCTTAGTGATAGCTTTAAGGCTACAGTAGATGAGAGAAGCTTGCACAGGATCGTTTAAGTTGTCGACTCGCTTCTGATTAACAAGATCTGAAAATGATACAGGATACTGCTCTTGAAGAGCTCCAGCGGGAAATCAGTGAAAGACCGACGGCCAAGCAAGTGGAAGACTTGAGGAAACAAGTTAAAATCTTGCAGGTTGGGCCTCAATTTTACTTACCCGATTTTCCACTTGCTAGATTTCAAAGTGATTTCCATATGAATTACGAAAGCTTTTTTCTGGTGAACACACCTGCGGTTGGTTCTTTTCTAGGGTAGCAGATTGGTTAGTATGAGAATAAATAGCCTTGATCTGTTGGTTGCCATTAACATGGTTCCAACTAATTTCAAGCAATGCTGTACCACCTGGTAATATTTAGAATGTGACTAGCTTTTAAATATTAAATGGTCCCTGGTGACTGCCAAATGAATGCGCTTTTCAACCTTTTCTGATATTGAAATACCGTTCGTGAGTGCAGGCAGTGGGTTATAATTCTGTAGAGGCTGAAGACTGGGAGCTAGCCACTCGAGGTGAGGATATTGGGAAACTAGAGACTCTCTTACTTGATAAGAACCGAAAGATGGAACATGAACTTACGCAAGTCAAGGTACTCTGTCTATTCTATTCTGTGATTTCTAGAATCTAAACTAGTATGTTCATTCTGCGTATTTCGCTGATTTTCCAAATTTTTTTTCAACCTGTTAGTTCTATGTTGCAGACTTTCTATGCTACGGTGATCAAATATCCAACAACTTTTTTTCTTGTTTTTAACTGAACAGGTACAATTACTGGAGAAAACTCAGGCAGCGTCTGCAGCAGACCAGAAGATTCATAATCTTGAGGCTAAAGTGGCAGAGCAAAAGACTCTGATTGTCAAGTTGGAGGAAGATATCCTAAAGGTTCTCTTTGCATGCTTAACATGCTGTTGTTACAAAGTTTTAGGGAAGTTCGAAGATTTTATCATGATATACGTCCCTTATGATCGTGTCGTTTCTGATCTACATCTCTTATGATCAGGGATACGGACCTTCACATGATCGTCGGCATGTCAAGCAATCAGATGACTGGGACTTACCAGATTCAGTAGGGTCAGACATGCTAGATGTAAGCGACCTCCTCCCAATGTGACCACACACACACATGCACGCGCGCGCGTCCATACAGACGTCTATGTCTATACAAGTCTGTGCGCGCTCGCTTGCGCTCTGTTTTGTGCATTAGAAAGATTTTTCTTCTATTATCCAGGTGCTTCAAAATTATATTAACTAGAGGTCTTGGTTTTGGTAGATACTTTTGGATAAGTAGAGTTTGTTCAGTAGTCCTTATTGTCTTTTCATATGCTTGATTTAGTTTCCTACCAGCTCTCATTCTCTGGAGGTTTGATTGGTGGATGCAGCATAGTGGATCCGGAAAGGCAGCGGATGAAGATGAGCAGAACTCGATGTTGACGGTCATATGTAGTCAACGTGATCGCTTCAGAACACGGTTACGGGAAACCGAAGAAGTAAGTCTTTTATGCTGATATGGTTCAGTCAAGTAAATTTGGTGTCATGGCTTCAAAATACATCCACGTATGGAAGTCTTTAATATGTCTAGCGAAGTTGCGCTCTAATTTGATTTGTTCCTCTGAGAACGTGCAGGAGCTAAGGATGGCAAGGGACAGGTGCCAAGCATTGACAGCAGACCTTGAGCGTAGTAGGGCTGATAACGTGAAACTGTATGAGAAGATGCGTTTTGTGCAGGACTACACCCAAGAGAGGCCCAGTAAAGGGCGATCAGGAAAGAAGGTATTTCAAATGTCAAGATATATCTCTTCGATAATACCTTCATAATAAGCTTTCCGGAGATTAGGAAGCTATAATACCTTGACAATGTTTTCGTGCTCTATGAATGGAGTTGTCATATCGCAAAAATGTGCTTCACTCATCTAATGCATGATTCTGCGAGTTACAGCGTGGAGAGGATCTGGAATCAGGCGTGACTGGAGATGTGGAGAGCAAATATAAGAAGATGTATGAAGACGACATCAATCCTTTCACAGCATTCTCTAAAAAGGTTCATCCTTTACTTTCTTTCAGATGTCAACTCGTCGGACATGGAAGCTACTAATGCAACTGCCGTAGAGGCCTGGCGTTTGCTCTTATCTCTTAGTTGAGAATATCTTCATATTCTTATTTCTATTGATGCATTATGCTACTTGAGATGTATCCTTCCAAGATCTGTATTTGAGATGATTAAACTTTATAGTTAGTGTTTGAGATGCACTAACCTCGCCCTGAAAACTTGCATTTAAAATCATTCAGGAGCACTGAGTGACTAGTTTCGTTAAGTACTCAAGTGTGTTTTTACATGATCTCACAGGAGAAAGAACGGAGATACAAGGAGCTGGGGATTCGGGATAAAATCACTTTGACAAGCGGCCGCTTTCTTCTCGGCAATAAGTAAGGAACCGGATCCCCTCTTTCCTCAGCGCAAGTGTACGGCCATCATTGAGATTGTCCGTGAAATTTCAGTACTAGCGTGAAAATTTAATGAAATTTGGTACCACTGGACAGGTATGCCCGGACGTTTATTTTCTTTTACTCCATTGGCCTCCACTTGTTGGTGTTCGCTAGCATGTACAGATTCTCGAGCTTAAGTCACAGGTATTACTGGTTATTTTTCCATTTTTACATGTTGGTTTTATTTTATCAATTTACATGGACTCAATACTGTTAAAAGTTGAAATATAATTTGTTGTTCACTATTGACGGCTATTTCTTTGCGAGAATGAATGGATTCTGTTTAGCACCTATCCTGGAGGTGCACATTACTTCTTGAACTAATTAAAATTGGTCTATTTTTCCTTGTTGGCAGTGCAATCAAAGAGCGAGAGATTGCATACAAGTTTGCTGGAGCAGAAAACATCCGAGAATATTTCCAAGCCAACGGAACATCCGGGTCGGTTTTGTAGTTGCTTTACTTGGTTTTCTTATGCTCTTGACAGGTTGTAGAGATCATTTGTAGTAGATTTTCCAACATTATTTTTGAATATCTTGCGTTGGTTTCTCCAGCTTTAGATAGTTGACATATATGGATAGCATGACATTTTGATGTTGCAATTACACAACATTTCACCATATGCATATGGCGTACAGAACACATGCACCCAGTGTCGTGAAAGACTCTGGGCGAAGTTTAATTGCTACACCACTTGTCCTGAATATGTAGTATGGTATTTATTCACTTTTCGTACGGGTCAATAGTAGTAGTTCGACCCCTTTGCTCTTTTGAATTAAATTTTTTGGAACGTACCCTTCATACGTCATTAGCGGAGTTGCTGTGTTGGTTGTGACAATCGATTTGTGGCCTGTAGAGGCTTCTGTTGTAATGTCACATGTTCGAGTTGGAATTCCATGACTCCATTCATTTTCTCAAAGTAATTAACTCAATAATATTTGACCCAGATAAAATTTTGCTTCTACTCAGATCAGCTATACACAATACATGGTTTTCCTTAGATGATCGTGAGATAATATTATTGCATGATTGTGTATTAATACTAAATTTAACCTTAATGATTGTTTACCTGAAATTTTTAGATGTAAGAGCTCTGTATAATCTCCAAAAATTAAGCTGAGTTGAATCCTGTAATGACAATTTATTAAGTTTCTTAAAAATTATTCTTTTGATCACGTGTATATGTAGAGAGAATCACGCATTATGAATGCAGACCAGTTGTAAACACAAAAAAGAAAAATCAACAGGGTTCTAGGCAACAAACTTTCCAAAAGATGTTCCCTTGATATGGCTCAGTACAACAATTTTGATGATAGTTTGTACAAGCTGATTCTATTTAACCATCTCAACTAAATGTTACATTATACTATCACAAACAAATTTCTAAATAGCAAATGATACATCTATTTTTTTGTGTTATCAAATTTGTTAAATAGTAATATATATTTATTTGAGATTCTGTCCATTTTATTTAAATTTATTTTAACTTCTAATATTCCACATATTTTTCTTTGAAAACGGAACATGCATTCTATTCCCTGAATAAGCACAAAATCATTCAGGAAAACCTAATATAATTTAGATTATTAAAGGAAGTTTGGGAATTTGCTTTAGGAGAATATTGTGTTGCATGGAATAACCTACACATTTGTTCAAATTTCTTATAATTATTAGTTCGTCTAAAAAAAGCATAATTATTTAAAAAAAAAACATAAAGACGTAGAATATTTTTAGTAAATTCAAAGTTTTTAAATTTTAAATTAATAAAAAAATATGTTTATTTTAGGAGAACAGGATTTCTTTAACATTTTTGTTATTTAGATATGATACTTTATTATTATTTTTCGTGTATTTTGCTACAACTAGTGTGTTAGTACTGGTTCTAGAATTTATTCAAAACTAAATTTGAATAAATTGCAAGGTTTTATCTAAAATAAATAAATAAAAAAATAAACGAAAAATGAAAAATGAAATTCAATAACAAAAATAAAATAAAATAAAATAAAAATGTAATGAATAATGTTATCAGTTTATGGATTTTCCAACAATGTAAAATTTTGTTTGGAAAATAAAGAAATAAAAATCAACTGCTGAAGAAGACGAGTGTGAATGTCAGCTAATCTGAAGATGGGCATGTGTACAACATACAAGGGTGTAAGAGTACTGAAAAGTGTAAACAAACAACACATGCTATTAACCACAACGCAAGGACAATTGGTAAGTAAATGGGAATAAAGTCTTCACGAAGAATATTTATACAAGCAAACATTCTAATGCTGCCTACATTCCCAGAAGTCGACACAATATGATCTTAGACATGAATAGTAGCGCTTGCATTAGTGGTTTATATATAGCAGCAAGACTGGCACCCTAAAGTCACACAACTAGTCTTACATCAGAACTACGATCTCAGAAGTAGGATGTACAGTTTGGGAAAAGGTATCATACATACTTCCACATTTAAACTGCAAAGATGAAGGTCTTTTGGTGGGCAATTATCCTTGTATACATTCAAATGTTGGTATGACCATGACAAGTATTTTACGTCAGAGCCTATTGCTGCTCATGACAGGTATTACACAATTGAATATCTGTCATTCTAGTTCATAATGCCTATTCACACATCTTCCGTTCAATTGATCAAAACAATGTCACGTATTCTGTAGTAATCATGTACACAGTTCGCTAATTTTCAACAACTGAATTTATCCGCAGTGAAAGGTCTGCAGGGTAGTAGCTCATTCGATAGCTGATACAGGAGAAGCATAACTTCATTACCTGTTCCGCTCAATCAACCATCATGGGAACGGACCTCCTAATGAGAAAACCAAGCACTTGGGTCAGGGCCGTCGTTACAATTAACCCACTGTCCTGGTTTTTTAGCTGCCAACTTTCAAAGGAACATCAATATCGGTTTCAGTGTCATTACTCTCGATACCCAGGTCAGCTTCATCCGTCGTCTTCAGTACTAACTCGCCATCATTCGCTTCAGGCTCATTTTTAACAATGTTACCGTTCATACGGACCGGTGTCTCCGGCCTCAAGGATTCCTTTAATCCTTCCAAAATGTGAGGTTCCATTAGTTTCCATATCCAAACGGCAGATTCATCCTTGAAGCATATAACGTTCCCAGCCTTTCTCCTCCTTATGACGCAATCAACAGTTCGAGCTTTCAGTGCCTTAACTACAAGAGTGAGCTCCTTTGAAGTATACTGGCAGGCATTCAAGACGATTCCTCCTGTTTCCTTACACTTCTCACCTCCATACATATACCAGTATGCTAACGACAATGGATTCAACCATCTGTGAATTAACCTAGGAATCACAGGAAGCCCCTCCGGTCGATACTGGTGAGCATAAAACCGGAGTGAGCCGTGGCTAACTGTGGAAAAGCGGTAAGTCTTGCGAGAGTCATCATTCACCTCCGTACGTGGTGCTTGCTGTGCCCAATCAGCAAATATGTCGTACAAGTGATCAATCAAAACTGGACCAGCCTCTGTTGCATCAGTAAGTTCAAAGCCGACCTCATATGTCCGATTATTATCATGAGAAGTTATCTTCGCACCTCCCAACAATACCCCAACCAGTATTTCCCTCTGTTCCGACACTAACTTACGCTTCACTTTCCCGTTCGCTTGATCAGCAACGTTTGTTTTTCCCAATACCCCAGCAACTTTAACCATTATCTCTTCGGGGGGCATCATTTTTCGTGCTGTAAGATACGTATAACAGTCCTTCACTTTCTCGTAACGTTCCGCTCTGAAGAAAGCTTCTATCATCAGGCAGAATGTTTTCAAGTTAGGGTGAAATCCCTCGAGTTTCTTCATGTCTTCAAATATCGCTTCGGCTTCATCCAGTTGCCCACGAAGAATATGTGAATCAATAAGGTTGTTGTAAGCTTGGAGATTAGGTCGGCATTTCTTTCCCTTCATACGGTTAAAGATCTCCTGTACCTCGAGCAGCATATCCTTGCTTTTATACCATTCCATTAAAAGGTTGTATGAGTTGTGCAATACGGCAGAAAAATTTTCTTCGGCCTTCTCAAGAGCAGATAGTGCTCCCTCCTTACTTTCCGCTTTTACCATGGCTTCAATGACTGCTTGATGCACATTCACAGTGATTTGGATTCCCTTCTCCACCATTTCATTAAAAGTACTCTGCACTTTCTCAGGCAGTCCTGCTGAGCCATAGGTCTCAATTAGGGCGGCATAAGCCCGCCAGTCCGGCTCATGACCAGCAGCCAAAAGATCTTCAAAAACACGCTCAGCCTCTGTTGTATTTCGGTCCTTCGCACATACTCTTATTAAGGCGGAGTAGCAATCGCGACTCAAAGGAAATGCTGCATCTTTCATAGCCGCAACCAACTCATGTACTCTTTCGACGTTACCCTGAATACTATGCATATGTATCAATCCAGTAAAAATTCCAGACCACTGGTTTGAAGGCAGACCCATACACCACACATCACCTTTCTTCCTCATGCTTTCGAGCAAAGCATCTGCTTTGTGAAGATTTCTCAAATGCGCACCTCCTTTGCGATCAGTGAAGGCCTGGAAAAGGGCATATGCCAATGCTGCTGGCTGTTGATAACCCCCAAGCTGCTCCATCTGATTGTACATTGCAAAAGCTTGTTCGAGAGATTCTCCTGATTCATCTGCAATGTAAGCTTTGACCAATATAACATACGTTGAAATATCAGGGATTTGCCCAGTTGCAATAATGATATCAAATAGCTCACGCATGCGCGTGAGCTTTCCATTGGTACCCAGCATATTAGCCATTTTCGTGTTCAAATCGAAGTCATTCTCGTACCATGGTTGCTGCATAGTCCACTTCAAAACCTATACATGGAAAAGCACATGTCATAAATCGGCAGGAGTGCAAACAACAAATTAAACTGTGTGTAACCTTAAAAATCACCAATCGCTGAAGTGTTTAGGATGATGCAATGATTAAAGATAGGACACTCAACTATTAATTGCAAAGTGACTACATAACGACCAGGAACATTGAAGCGGTCTAATTTAATACAAAGCTACAGTACATGAACCGGCGTTTGAGTTGTTTCAGCACATCAACATCCGTGCAATAACAACGTCAATAGAATTCAACAGAATAACCAGTCACCGGAATCTTACCCTATGTGCACGCAATATTTCACCGCGACGCATAAGAGTTTCAATCACTTCCTTGGTGTCGACAGCCTTAATCCATGCCCTCTGAGAATTCAACAATGTCACGATGGCAGTAGGTCTCAAAGCTGGAATCTCTCTGCATAACCAGCCAATCTTCTTTGGCCTCCAGTCTTCTACATCTTTCGCACCTTCTTCACTTTCATCTTGACCATCCTCATTCACATCTTGATAACCACGCCCGCGCTCCTCAGGATCGTCATCTGGACCAAGTTCATTGTCCTGAAGAAAACCTGTCTTGGCTTTCTTCTCTCTTACTTTCCTTTGCCATTTCTCTTCGCCCTCGAATAGCTGCCGAAGACGTGGACTTTTAAGAGCATTCAATCTAGAATCCGGAATTCTGTCATCCTCACCAAATATGTTATCACCAAATTGGCTCGAAGGGCGCCCGCCTCTGAAAGAACCAGCTCGACCTCGGGAACCCCTACAACCTCTGCTACTACTGTAACTTCCTTTCTCCTCTCTGGTCCCCTGCGCGGGTTTCCAGCGTTCAACAGTTCCGGAATTGGAGTTGGAATCTCTGTAGAAAGGGCTCGGTGATCTGCTAGCACCTTTTCTAAGTCGATCATCGAATGAAGGTCCTCTGCCTCCCCTGCCTCTTGTACCTCTACCTCTAAAGCTCTCCCTATCTCCTTGGCCACCTGAGCTATGATATCGATCCTTCGATGCCCCATTGCCAATTTCCCCTCTCCCTCTGCCTCTTCCTGTACCTCTAAAGCTCTCCCTGTACTTCTCGTCACTTGAGCTGCCGAACTGCTCCCTCTCTCCTCCATCGCTAAAATATAACCTCTTCTCAAGATCATCGACGCCGAATTCTTCAGATGAACCATTAAACGAAGGTCTAGAGGCCACCCTTCCTCCCCACGCAGCTTCAAAGCCTCCCCTATCTCTTCCTCTTCCTCTACCTCTCCCCCTTCCTCTGGGGTTTCCCACGTTCCTTCCACTACTAGAGCTATGAGAATTCCCCCTCTCACCGCCATCGCTGGAGTAAAAACTCTTCTGACCATCCCCATTGTCGATTTCTTTCAGCGGCCTATCAGAAAAAGGTCTGAAGCTTCCCCTCCCTCTCCCACCGCCTCCTCTACCTCTTCCTCTACCCCTACCTCTAAATGTCTCCGCCGTTCCGGCATAAGAATTATCATCTCTTTCACCACTACTACTGCACATAAAAGAATTCCTCCGCCTTTCAGCACTGGATAAACCAGTGAATCCTTCTCTAGTACTGAGGAACCTGAGCTGTTGCTGCTGATGCTGCCACTCCGCCTGCCCTCCAACGCCTCTCGCGACACCATTCACCCATCGGATGATGCTGATTCCAAGCCCTAATTGGCCAGAGCAGCTCGTCGCAGCAAAAACCTGTCCAACTCTCCCCAGCGTCGAGTCTTTGCTACTCAAATGCGAGAACCACACCAGCTGTTGTTTGACATGGAAAGAGAGCCTGCCACGGGCAGCCATAGCGCGCGTGCTGCTACAATTGAGAGCAGCAGCAGAGGGGCCAGAGGAGAAATTGCGGGTAGAGGGAGAAGGAAAAGCCCATACCCAGTGGGGCCGGGAGAGCAGCAATTTCGTCATGCCAAAGCAGGAAAAGGGGCCCTCGTTTGTTGTGTTGCTCCTGAGGAAGGAAGGCAAATGTTACTGGGGGTGGGGGTGCTGTCCCGAACCACAGCAAGTAAGCAAGCAGAAGCAGGTGCGAGGCAGGCAGCCAGGCAGCCTAGTCCCTCCTCCCAGTCCCTCCTGATAGAGCAACAGAAGAACAGCAACAGAAGTCTCTCTCTTTGGGGGGGGGGGGGGGGGGGTAGTTTAGGGCTCCTCTCTCCCATTACAAAATACAAATAAAACCCCTCCCCTCCCCGAATCATGCTCCCCTGCCGATAAGCCCACTCAGTCCCCACCCCCAGTCCACGTCACTACTCTCCGCCACGTAGCTGCTCTAGCTGGTCTGGACTGACTTGGCGACCAGGCTGGATGGTGCAGAGGAGGGATGGATGGATGGTTGCAGTTGCACTGAAACCCTCCCTCTCTCCCTCCCTAGGCCAAGGTCGGAGACAAGCCCCATGCATGCTTTGCATGTCACGACGTTTTACTTCTCTAAAGACATTACTATTTTTAAAATAATATATATATATATATATAGTTACTTTTTCAATATATATAATCAAGCTTTTCTTTCTAAAACTTTAATAATCCATGCTTGAAATTTACTTTGTTTCATACAAATAATTTTTTCTTTTTCTTGATTTAAATCCTTTTCTTCTTCTTTGTAATGTATAGGTATATCATATACGATCTTATTCTAAATTTATGACAATCTATCTATTATATAAAACAACTCAAGGGAACAAACCAATAGAACAAATAAGATGAGACAAAAACCATCTTTGATTGGTTGTATTTTTCATTGTTTTCATCAAAAGTTAAGCAAAACTTAAGTTCATAGGGCCTTAATAAAACTAGGTTAGTGTTTATTGTACCAAAAGATTATGCACAAATGCATTATATCAAAAACAATGCAAGCTCAAAGTACAATCTTACACAACTTGTACTCACATTATAATAGCAAGCATGACTTTTAGCAAAGTAGTTGCAAAGATAAAGAAGTAAATAAAGAAGAATGCATCAATGGTTGTATGGTTTGTACTCAAAGAATGTGAGTGGAGTCCTTGGGAATATGAGTGTGAATGTGAATGTGAGTGAAAAAAAATGAAAAAGAAAGCAGATAGAATATTGGAGAGATGGAAATTGATAAGTGAAATGGAAAGATAGTATCATGGATATACATACATATTCTAATAAATACCTATATGATTAGATAGAAGTACGTAAAAATAAATAAAAATAGATTAATTTCATAATATCTTCTAGAAAAGCTTCACAGATGCTACTTTGATTTTACATGTGTTTTTTGTTGATTGATAGATTAGAAATTTAGTCAACAAGTTAACCACATATTGGTAGCTTGTAGAACAAGCTAATTATTTGGTGCAAATATAAAAAACTTGTCTTATAAGTTAAGATAAATGTCTTACAAAGTCAACATGTTTTGGAGGTCTTATAGGACATTGCCACATAGCTCTTAGTTAAGAGTATATATGAAGGCAAGAGTGAAGCCTCCTTTACTCTTATCAATGCCTTTTTAATCTTTAGTCTTATTTTAAGACTTTCTAGTCTTTTTATTTTTAGCAATAGCCATTCTAATTCAATATTATATTATCTTAGAGTGACTTTCTGGTTCTTTTCAGTGATACAAGAGTGTATTGAGGATTTTCTTTCTTTGAGATTTATGTCCTCGATAGTTCGATAAGAATACTAACTTACTATTTTTGTCTTTTGTATAAGTGACTGGATTATTCTACTTTTATTGTTCTATTTTGAAGGTTGTAGACTATCCACCTTTAAATAAATAATCTTATTTTTTTACATTGATTTTTTTTTTAAAGAAAGTGAATTATCCTTCTTTATGGAAATTTTTATTTGATACTATAGGTTCGAGATTATCCTACTCTAATTTAGTTTTTTGAATTTGCTTGAGTTTTATTTAGAAGAAAAGATTATAAAACAAAAAATTGTATAGTTGAAGGAAGCAAGTAGATCAACTTTACAACCAAATCTAGGGAATTTTGCTTCTATAAGTATGATGGAGATAAAGATTAGTATGCTTGAGAAGTTTGATGGAATAAGATCAAAATTTCAAAGATTTTTGCAATAAGTCAAGTTCTATCTAAGGTTGCATTTCTTCTAATATTTCAATGGATTTACTCAAGTCAGATTCATAAGCACACTTCAATCAAGAAATGCTCTTTCTTGATTTGCACCTTTAATAGAAAAAGATTCATGACTCTTTTATGATTTGAATTCATTCTTAAAAGTGATTACAGCCACATTTGAAAAAAGTGATCAAAAAAGAGTAATAGAGACCAAACTCTTATCTTTACAACAAAGATCACAATCAACCACTATATATGTTACTGAATTCCAAAACCTTACTTGTAATATGGATTGGAATGACAAAGCCCTTATCAATCAATTTTGATATAAGTTGAAAGATAATGTCAAAGATTTATTATTGACAATGCCAAAAGTAAAATCTTAAGAAAAATTTATTACTCGAGTCATTACATATGACAATGAACTATTTGAAAGACTTCAAGAATAAAGACTTGACTAAAGAAGAACAAATCAAATAATGATGGTAGTTCCCAAGTTTTTAAAATTCATTCATCAAGGTCAGAACCAATGCAAATTGATACAATAGATTTTAATCTTCTATAGAGTAGGAAAAGATTAGATAATGTCAAGAGGGCATATGCTTATATTGTAGAAAAGTTAAACACACTCCTTGACATTATGCAAAAAAAATAAAAAGCATGGTTGCAAAAGAAGACAATATATCAAAAAACAAGTTTCTTGAACTACAATAAGAACCATGCTGTTGAAATCTTATGTAATTCCTAGTAAAAGTCCTATTCTCTCCTCAAATCCCTCACCTTGTTTTACAATAGAAGTTTATTTATGACCAAAAAATCACAAAGTCTTAGCTTTGTTAGATTCAAGAGCCTCAGCCTATTTTATAGATAATTTTTTTTTTTCAAAAAACAAGAAATATCATTAGTCAAAAAAACTAAACTTATACATGTAGAAATTATAGATGGTCATTTGCTATCTTTTAAAGTTTTTATATATGAGATTGTTCATTTAGATGTAACAATTAAAGATTATAATAGTATAATAATATTTAATATAATAAAAAATTTATTTAATTTGATTATTTTAGGATTATCTTGATTAAAAAAATATAATCCTTAGATAGATTGGATTTCTTGTAACCTTAATTTTTTTGATAGTTTAATCCAAAATTTTGTTAGACAAGTAAAAGTACTTAAGTCTAGTAAATCCAAATCTTTATTGGTAGGTGCAAGAGCTTTTATGAATGCCGCAAAAAAAAGATTATCTTTTTCTTTATATATTATGCCTATTTTTGATGGTGAGAAGATATCAAGTAATATTCCTAGCTAGTAGCAAGATTTATAGGACATTTTTGAAAATAAAAATACAAATATTCTTTTAAAACATCAATGCTATGATTGTTCAATAGATTTGCAAGAAAAAGCTCAATTACCATTTGAACCAATCTATAGCCTATCATAAAATGAGTTGGCTACAGGAGAGGAATATATTGATGAAAATTTGGCTAAGAATTTCATATGCCATTCTAAAACTTGAGCTGTTGTTGGAATAGAGAGAATTTGTCTCAAAAAAGCATTAGGCTCTTAATTGCTACTAATTACTCAATTAAGTCTTGAGATAAAAAAGACCAAGTTTGTATATATGTATAATACTTTTAAAAGCAATTACACCAAATATATATGCCTCAAGTAACCAATAACATCCAAAATATGATAAAATCTTCTAAAATATTGTATATCCTTGTATAAAAAGTTTTTTGAACTTCAATACTTTATATCTCTTAATCCAACTATCTAAACAAACTCAAATTTTACATAAGGTACTGATGTATTCTTATTTATCTTTACAATAAATTTCAACTATAAATGTATTGTAAATCTTGAGATATCTTGAAAATCCTAACAGTCGCTTTAAACCCTTATCTTTATACACCCACATGTAATTTTCTTCATATCTCATAAAATATAAGCTCAAATACCACGAAATTTATATGTATAGCTTTTCAACACAAAATTTTATATTTTTCAAAAAGTTTGAATCACAAATTTGTCAAAAAACTCAAATTATGGCTCCAACCATTATTATAAACAAAACCACTCATTTATTGCCTTTGATTTGGAAGTGCCACCTTCAACTTCCTATAAATCCTTCAAATAAACTCCAAAAAATAATAATTCTTTTGTAAAAGATGTAGGTCTTAAAATCGCTATTCCAGCCATATCTTTCAATCTTCAAAAGCTACTATACAACTCCTCATATTGTCAAAAAGAGTAACAATGTATGTTAAATTAATACCTTAACTTCAAATGGCTATATCTTCTTCATCCTAATTCCAATTTTTCTATTTTTTGTACACAAATTATAGTCCACATCATAAATTTTATAAACTTGGTTTCTAATTCTAAAATTCTCTCTTTGAAGTTGCCAAAATCCTTGTTAAAGTCGCAAGCAACCTCCTCAAAATCCATTAAGCATGGTATTTGACCAATAGAAATGAAGTTCTCCATTCCTTCATCTGATCATGCCTTGCTTTCATTCTTTTCAATTAGTCTCCTACAAGTTTAGATTTTCATCCTTAGACTTCCACCTTCTTCCAAGGCTTCATACTAAACAATTAAGTGTCAAGGATATGAACTAGAAAATGATGCATAAACCAATGAAATTCGTGTCAAAGAAAAAGTGACAAAATGAAAATAAAAAAGTACGTATATTAAAAAGAAACTAGAATGGCTCATTGCCAAAAGATAAGAAAATTTGAAACTCTTGCAACTAGATTAGAAGCAAGAAAGGAGTTGACAAGAGTGAAGAAGGCTTCACTCTTGTTTCTATATATACTATCTAACTAGGCACTATGTGGCGATGTTCTATAGAACCTCCAATATATGTTGACTTTGTAGGACACATGCCTTGACTTATAAGGCAAGTTTTTCTACGTGTGGGCCACATAGTTATCTTAGTTTTCAAGCTAACAAAATGTGTGGCACATGGCTAACTTATTGATCACATTTCTAATCTAAAAAGTCAATTAAAGACACCTATAAAATCAAAGCAACGTCTATGAAGCTTCTAGAAAGCTTCCATAACAAACAT